TGAACTGTAACCCATCAGCCCGGCACTCAAGGCCCCTCCGGCTTGGCTTATTTCCTGCTATGTTGTTCTCAGTTCATCATGGCTCTGGGCATTCTAGCCCACCTGCTGCTTCAGCACATCCTGCATTTCTTGTCTTGCTGTTTTTTGGACTTGGTGTGCCCAGCATCACTAAGATTTGCCTCCAGTTCTCTCCAAATCTCCCTCTTTCAGAAATTTTCCCATTTTTGTTTTAGACTATTCGACCTCCTCTAAAATCCTTTATTTCTGAGTACATTATTATGACCATTGTCAGAGTTAGCTTGATCAGCACTGTTTGTCTATTTTCCCTTCTAGAATGCAAGCCTCTGAAGGGCAAGGGCAGTGTCTTGCTCATCTTTGTAAAGTCCTTCCCTCCAAATTAGTGTTAGTTTAGTGCCTGGTACAAAGGTGCTCCTCAAGACTTGGTGACCTAAATAGCAGATTTGTGAAGACTGGCATGTTGAGTCATCCACCGCAGCGTATAGAAACAAATGTGGAAGGCCCAGATGGGACCAGTGGGCGGAGTGCCGCTGGAACAGAAGCAGGGTTAGGAAGAAGCAAAATTCACTTGCCCAGAAAGAAAGCTGAAAAACACTGATGTCAGTTGGTAAAATGATGCCTTGAAGATAAATCCCTGCCCTTTTAGAGCACCACCTGGCTGCACTTGAGGGACAATCTTAGATTTGAATGTTGTACAGATAGCCTGTTTTCTGTTTTTTTTGGTGACCTGTGACACTTACGTTAAAAACACCATAAAGGTCTCAGAAGTTTTCCAAGCAAAATTCATTATGATGCATTACCTTTTTAAGAAACATTTCAAATAGCTTTATTTGAGAAGGGATGTTTTGGAAGGCAAACTTTTGGTGGAATGTCCCAGCTACCAAGAAAGCTGAGAATATCTTACCCAGGCGATGAGAAAGGGCCTGGACCAATACTAAACAAAGATCTCGTTGTGTTGAGGTGGTGACTAGAATGGAGTTGTGGGAGTGATATAATTCAAAGATGATTTCTGACTGCTTGGAACATTTCTCTTCTATTCTGTACATGTCTAAGGTGACATGTATGTACAGAGATAAATATAGGTGGGTAGGGAGTCAGTTTATGGTTTGATAAACCTATTGCTGGTCAGTGAGATGATGCAGGAAGGAGTGAGTGGAAGATGCTCGTGTGGTAGGATTGGGAGACCGCAGAATGCGGCTTTGAAGGAGCTGGGGGGATGCCCTATCTCCCACTGCAGCTCTGGTTCTGCAGCCAGTCTCCCTGCTGTTGTATCCCAGAGCTCCAGGAGACCGCTGAGCAAGCGGAGTCCAAATTCAAGAGTGAAAAGCAAAGCCGGAGACAACTGGAACTCAGAGTGACGTCCTTGGAGGAGGAGCTGACTGACCTTCGAGCTGAGAAGGAGTCTCTGGAAAAGGTAAGCTCTACAACCGAAGTTTCTCTATTGGGCCCAAGTGGCCAGGATTAGCTATTTACTAAACATTTTTATTTTCCTTTTAAAAGTTACAGTAGCATGTAACAAATATAAATAATCCAGAAAATTATATAAAATAAAAAGTTGAATTTATCTTTTTCCCCTCTCTAGTCTCATACACTAGAGGCAACAACTATAAACCACGTATGATTATTCTTCCAAATTATTTCCTCTGTGTACAAAACATACATACACACTCATACATACATATATGTATGCACACTGATTTTTTAACAATGATAGGATCAGGTCTAATGCTTTTTTAAAAATTGTAATGTGGACAGTGTACTAATAAGAATGAGAACTTTCTCATTCTTTTTAACTACTGCGTAGTAGTATGCTGTGAGACTATCATAATTTATTTAACTATTCATCTGTTGATGGATATTTATGGTTCTATTTTTTTCACTATTTCAGGCACTGATGTTGTGGACACCTTTGTACTATGTAACTATTTTTGAAAATTCATTCGAGCATTTCCATAAAATAGATTGCTTGAATTAGAATTGCTGCCTCAGAGGACATGCTGCACACCTAAGTTTTTAAAGTAAATATTGTCAGATTATCCTCAAAGAAAAGTGTGTGAACGTGTTACATTTCCAGCACTGTCTGAACAAGCCCATTTCTCTGTACTTTTCTCAACTCTGCATGTATCAGTTTTTCTAATCTTTATAGTCTAATAGGTGAACTATGCTATTTTGTCTTAATGTGTTTTTGTTAGTAGTAAAGCTTTCTTATGTTTAATGCCTGTTTGTATTTCTTCTGTGAATTCTCTTTTTAATGTCCTTTGCTATCTTATGTATTGTAATATTAGTTGGATTTATAAACACTATTAAAGGTGTTAATCCTTTGTCAGTCATAGATGTTGCAAATATTTTTCTAGTTTGCTGTTTTTTAACTTTATTTATAGTATCTTTTATTGTTTTGAAATTTTAACATGAAGGTAATACTAGCCCCATGGAACAAATTGGGACAATTTTTGTCTTTTTCTGTGTTTTGGAACAGTTTAAGTATGAAAAGAACAACCTGTTTCTGAAGTTTTAATAAAACTCTATATTATAGCCCTTTCTGCCTAATTCCTTTTTAGGGGATAAATTTTGGTCTGTATTTTCAGTTTCTTCTATGATTTCATCAGTTTTTTTTTAAACCAGTTCCTTCTGATTTTGGGGGCTGTTTTTATTTTTTCTTTGTTATAGATACCACTACAGTGACCATCCTTGTAACACACGATCTTTATGAAGACTGTCTAATGCTTCCTTAAGACAAACTATAATTTGTGTAATTTCTGGGTGTGTGTGCGTATTTTGAAAGTCCTTTCACAAGACTGTGATTTTCCTACCAGCAGTTTATGAAAGTATCCACTTCCCTATACCCTCACCACGCTTAGATGTTCCCCATCTCTTAATGGTAGATAGGCTCTTCTTGTTTTCCTTCTTGTCACAATTTTTCTCTTCCAGTAGCCAAGAATGTTAAATATTTAGGGGAAACAAAAGTGAAAAATGAATCATTTCCAGAAACGAAGTAAAGACAGCATGATGTTGTTAAACCGTCACCACCATTACCACCTCCGTTTATCCTCTGTCGAACAACTAGAACTGATGATGGTTCTCTTGTTCCTAAGAACCTCTCAGAAAGGAAAAAGAAGTCAGCTCAAGAGCGCTGTCAGGCTGAGGAGGAGATAGATGAAATCCGCAAGTCACACCAGGAGGAATTGGACAAACTTCGACAGCTCTTGAAAAAAGCTCGGGTGTCCACAGACCAGGCAGCTGCAGAGCAGGTAATGGGAACCGAAGCGCTTTGACATAAAGTGAAGGCATGAAGGACTCAGGACAGCTTCTAGCTTCTTCTTTATCCTTTAGGATGACATTTCTCATAGTTGATGCTCTAATTTTGGAAAAAGGTGGAAGAAGAGCCAGGAATCAAATGGAGAATTTTCTTCCTTTTCTTTAAAAGCTTACTGAAAATTTAATTATATGAGTAAAACATGAAAAAAAAAGTCTTTATGAAAACATTCCTAACATGGTAAGGCCAAAGTCCTCACCCACCAGACACCATCCTTAGGCACATTATCGTCCTTGAAAAGAAGGGACTTATTTAGGTACCCAGGCAGGGAAACCAGGGGTAGTGGCAGGATGCAGTGGATCTCTCGTGCATTTGACAGCATCCTTTCTCCTTGTAAGTGCGTAAATTCACATTTGTGTGTTCATTTAGTCTTCCAGACAGTTGCTTCCCTGTTAAATCTGGGCTGTTGGCTTATTCTTTGGGCCTTGTGAAAGGTGGGCTTCACTGGCTGTGCCTGGCCCCCCGGGATACAGTGATTACTTTCTGTTGGCAGCTGTCTCTAGTACAGGCTGAGCTGCAGACCCAGTGGGAAGCCAAGTGTGAACACCTGTTGGCCTCTGCCAAGGATGAACACCTGCAGCAGTACCAGGAGGTGTGTGCGCAGAGGGATGCCAGCCAGCAGAAGCTGCTCCAGCTTGAAAAGAAGGTGGGTGTTTTCCCTGGGCCAGACAGCTCAGGCAGCCCAGTTAGCTTGAGGCAAACAGGTTGTTCAAGTTTTGTAGATCCTTTTGAACCTGAAAGATGTTAACAGTTTGAAAGCGGAATCATACTTGTTTATCTCTCCAGTTTGTCAGGAATCTTTCACATACTCATTTGGGATGACAGGTCAGTGACCTAGAAAACGAAGAAGCAGCATTTGTGTTCTGGACTGTGTTTCCCATTATTACGTGATCCTTCATTTTTTAAGCAAATGTTTATTGAGTGCCAGTTGTGTTCCCAACACTGGGTCGGGGGAGGGACTTACCCAGAACTCTTCTCAAGAATCTCATAGTCAAGAAAGGGAGACAGCAAGGAACAAAGATAAGCATTTAATGCTGTGAGGCCCAGAAGAGGGAGTGCCTAGGGGAGCAGAGCCAAGAAGGACAAGTAGCTTTGGTGAGAGGGGGAAGGCAGCAGGTGTCCTGGGCAAAGGCACTGAGGTGGGATGGAGCACGGGGATGGTGGGATCATCTAGCACAAAGACGGGAAAGAGAGAGGGGCGATGGCTTAGGACTTATCAAAGTCCTCTTACCTGGAGGTCAGTTTCTTTCCTTAAAGTATCCAGTTGAAAATCTTTGACTCCGAAATGATGAAGGCAATCTTGTAGGTGAATAGGTTGCTTCTAATGTCCACTGTTCATAAGTTTATGTGACTAGGGTTATTAACTCCCTTTTTTTTTTTCATTACATTCTTGACTTAATTAGGAATAAGGCAAGTGACCTTGTTGGGAAAGTGGAGATGAAGTTGTGATTTGAGGTTGAGTGATAATGAAATGGAATGCTCTTGAGTCAGCAGGCCCGGGGTTGGGGTGGAGTGTGTGGATGTCAGCAGACCTACGTGAGGTTAACACTTGCTGCTTAGGGTGGTTTTCCTCCTGGGTTTCCAGAATTTCGTCTGGAAGTCCTGGTTCTGAGGCCATAGCCACAGTCTGTTCCTTTTGTAGTGTTTAGCCCTCCAGGCCCAAGTCAGAGCCCTGACAGAGAAAAATGCACAGTACCTCAAGGACCTGGAGAGCAAGTCCCAGTTGTCCACGGTTGAAGCTGCGTCTGCTGATCCCTCAGAGAAGGTGAGCTGATATTTCAAAGAAGGAGTAAACCAGATCATATCAGGGGATTGAAGGAAGGCATATCAGGCCTTCAGAAAGAATGTGGTCAATTTGTTGTGTTGATAGTTTTGTTGTTGTTGTTGTTCTAACTATCCATACACCAGTTGTCTGACTTAAGTCGGAGTTTAACCCTTTGCAACCTATCTCTTTGGTGGCAAACCCAAAATGGCCCTATCCCAAGGTTTTGACAAATAAGGGAAGTGTTTCTAAATTGCAGAAGAGGCGCGGGGAGTGTGCCCTGCATCTTCTAGCTGTGAATCCTCGTAGCCCATGGCAGCTCTAGTGGTGGCCATGGTGGGAGGGAGGCATCAACAGATGGTCTTTAAGTAGTCTGGGGCACACGTGCCACAGCTTACCTGTCCTTGACAGCCCTTCTGTCAAGTGCTGCTCATTGTTGAACACTGTCCTCTCCAGGGCAGTGGCAGCCTTCAGTGTCTCAGTTTCTGACCAGCTGTGTCCCACTGCAGAGTTCTAAGAGGGCTTCATTTTAGCCTCCCAGACCTCTCTCTGGAATTTATATGTACCTGCTAGTCACTTGATTTTGGTAGCATACGTTTTGATAATGTTTTTCTCTCCTCACATCTTCATGCAGGTCAAGAAGATCATGAACCAGGTGTTTCAGTCCTTGCGGGGAGAGTTTGACTTGGAGGAATCTTACAATGGCAGGACCATTCTGGGGACCATCATGAACACCATCAAGGTACGGCCAGCTGTTGATTTTTTCTTTGAAAAATGGGTATCTGAGGGATCATAAGTGAAAAAATGATTCATGTTCATCAGTAACTAGGATGCCTGGAATGACTTATCTGGACAGATACAGGCAGCCTCCATTGAGAGGAAGAAGCAGAGTCATTTGAACAAAGAAAAATCAAACAAGCAGAAAAACAAAATTACTTGGACTAGATGACCAATTGTGTTAATAAGGACTGAGGGGCTAGGAGAGCCTGCTGTTTTCTCTCAGTGATTATCTCCTTGGCTTTTGAACAGATGGTGACTCTTGAGCTGTTAAACCAACACGAGCGAGAGAAGGGAGGGAGCAGTGATGAAGAGGAAGAAGAGAAGGGAGGGGAGCGACCTCAGACACCTTCCCAGGAGCTGCCTGTTTTGGCCAGTTCTGGACGGTCTCAGACGCCCTTGAATGGGGAGAGGCAGGAGCTCCCCACGGTGCCACCAGAGCATGTGGTCCAGGAAGCTGTCCCGCTGCCTCCTCAGGCCCTCCCCAGTCCCCAGGATGATGTGCAGGGAAGGGAAAGGGACTCCTCAGAAGCAGAGGTGCTCTCAGAGGCAAAAGATGACTCCTTCCCTTCTGAACTGGCTGGCGCCCCCTCCAGGAAAGCTCTGGGGCCCCCAACTTCAATTCCCCCTGAGCCTCCAGGCCCTGTGACTGTGGACTCTGAGTGCGAGGAAACACTAGTTGCCAGCCCACTGGGAAATGCCTGTGTTGGGGAGCAGGAATGTTCCATGAGATTGTCCCTGACCTCAGACCCTGAGAAGGGGGACCCACTGACCTCGGGGCCTGAAAGTCCAGGAGCAGAGCCTCGGGCTCCAGGGCTCAAGAAAGACGAGGATGTCACCAGCCCCGCTGCTCCCTCCCAGGAGCCGTGCAGCACAGAGGCAGCCTCTGCGGCCGTAGGAGCAGCGCCCGGATCCAGCCACTGTGCTCAGCGTTCCAGGTATGTCCCCTGAGCAGAGTTTCAGGAACAAGTGGGTGCATGTGGTTTTTCCAGGACTGGTGACTCATCCTCAGAGACTGACTGGCTGATTCATTCATGTATTTACTCAGCACTGTCTATGTAAAAGGCCCTGCAGTAGGCACTGTGGTAGTGCGGTAGGCAAGGCAGAGCTGATTCTTGAGTTGAGGAGCTTATAGTTTAGGGGGGAAGACAGACACTTACACCGTTGCACAGTGTGGAGGGTGGGGGTGCTGACCCTCTGTGTATAACTTGACGATCGGCCCTCCATGGCCGCAGTGCCGCATCCTGGATTCAGCCAACTGCGGGTCGTGTGGCACCACAGTGCGCATTTATTGAAAAAAGTCCACCTGTAAGTGGACCTGCGCAGTTCAGACCTGTTCAGGAGTCAGCTGTATGTTATAAATTATGATAAGTGCTTAGGGAAAAAAACAGGGTGTGTAATAGAGAATAAAGTGGGAGTTATTAACTACATTAGATAGAGTGATTAGAGAAGGATTCTGAGAAGATAAGATTTAAACTGAGACCTGAAGGATGGAAAGGAGTCTCCCATGCTCCTGTGAGACTTTGTTGTCACTGTTAGAAGTTTGGGCGTTAAGGGCAGTGAGAAGCCATTAAACGGATTTAAGCTGAAGAGTGACACGGTCTGATTTACTAGTTTTAAAGGATCGCGCTGGCTGTAGGTTACAGAGGAGTCACGAGTGCTGGGAGGCCGGTGTGGAGATGGGAGGAATCCTGGGTGGTCACCACACCTGTTGCATTCTTACCCCGGAGCCAGTGGGCATTGTGGCCTGGAGCAGAAATGACGTTTTTCTGTGATTTGATGTTCTTGATTTTTCTTTCAGTCTCTCTGAGGATGAAGAGGATGAACTGTTTAAAGGAGCGACTCGGAAAGTTCCAAGGCCCAAAGCGCAGGCTGAGGAGGAGGATGAAGATGAGGTGGTAAGGAAATCCCAGGCGCTGCCGAGTCCTCACGCCGCCACGTGGGGGCCCCTCCCCGCTGGCGGTGAGAAGAGGAATGGAGCCTGTTGGTGGCCCACTCCCTGGGCTCTGTGCGCAGGGCCCTGTGGGAGCAGACTCGGGGCTGGGAGGGGGCAGCTCTGTAAGCATGGTGGGGATGGCCAGATACCACTTTATTCTTGAGAAAGGATCATGATCTCCGTTCATGCACGAATGATTTCTGCTTTAAGTGAAGACAGTCGGGCTGCTTAGTCCTATATTAAAATGCTGAAGCCTCAGGTTTACTCACATTTGCTAGGGTATTTTTTATATTTTAGAATTGGAAAAGACTTTGAAGATCTTTTTCTGGCATCCTTATTCATAGACAAGGAAACTGAGGCTCAGAAGGATGATTTATTTACGTAAAGCCACAGAGTGAGTTAATGGCAGAGCTAGGACTAAAACCCCAGGCTCCTAATAAGACCACCAGTTTCTGAGCATTTTCTGCTTCCTCAGTCTGCTTTCCAACCTGCTGCCTTATTTTGTCCTCACAACATCCCTGGGCAGAAGATGGGTTAAGCACTGATAGCACAACCTCGTTTTACAAAGCACCAGAGTGAAGGCCATGAAGATGAGCTGATCTAATAGAACCTAGATCAGAACTCTCATTCTTGCATCTGCCGTCCCCATCATGCTGAATGTACAACATGCAAGCATCCTTGGCTGTCCAAGAGTACTATGATGGCAGTTTCACTGGAGTGAAACGCGGGTAGAGAACACAGATCAGCTTCTATCCCAGGAACAGAAATAAGAGGTGAATGGGGGCAAATTTTCTCTCACGTATCCACCAGAATGGGTTTTTCCTTTTGCCAAAACTTCGGGGAGATGGCTGTGACTGAGCTGGGATCCAGCTTGCATGTACCAGAACCCTCTCCTCTCACCTGCGTTCCACTGGGGGCGAGCGCACCAGTTCCTCCATTAGTCTGTCTTCCCAAGAAGTTTTAAATTTTCATTTGAGAACTCTGAATACGAATTCTGCATTAAAAAAAAATTGAGTGTCTCAAGTGACTGCCTTAAATATAGATGGAATTTTTACATTAGCAGTATATTATTTGTATTAATACTAGTATTATCAAGTTAATGTCTATTTCTTGGGTAGTCTGAAAACTACTTCACAGACATTCTTACTTAATCCTTAATCCTCTACCAGTCCAGTTTGGTGTAGGCATTTTTATCCCATTTTACAGAAAAAAGGACCGAGGGTCAGGAAGATTAGATAACATGTCCAAGGTTATAGAGCTGGTCTAAAGTTACACAGTTGGTAAATGCAGGGCCAGAACTTCAGCTGAACCAAAACAGAAGCAGTGAGCCACATTCTAAAATCCTGTACCATTAGAATTTAGAGACCGCTTAATTGATGTCCAGAGAGAGGAACAAGGTCCGTTGGTGGTGGAGATGGAATTAGCCCGGGGACCTGTGACCACATCATGCTGCCTTCCCTTTGGCCAGCCCTGTAAAGACTGATCCTGGGCCAGGGTAGTTCACCAGCACAGAAAGTACCTTAGTAGAGGACACTCATGCGTGCCTGTCTCCAGCATCACTCCCTGCTGCCCCTGTGGGAACCTTTTCCATGCCAATCCAGAAGGAAAAGGCTAGGGGCTGAGGCCCATTACTCCCCCTTATCCTCCTACCTGGTTGGAGGGAGTGAGGGTAGGGCCAGTGAGACCAGGGGTGGGAGGCTGTGTCCCTGTGTCCCTGTGATTTCTTCATCTGTTGGGATTCTCCATTTGGCCTCTAAATTCAACTCTCTCTCCCAAATGGTGGGGCCTCTTCCAGAGCCAGACAGGCCTCCTTAGACAGACCATGACAACGTTTTCTCAGATGCAACTGTATTCTTCCCAGCCTCCCTTCACTTTTCTGCATCCTCTTCTTTTAGGGCTGCTCTGCTTCTCTGTTTCTTTATCTTCCTCCCACTCTCTCCTTTTCCCACATGAAATGTTTATAAGTTACCGCATGAGAGGAAACCTGTCAAATCAATACCTGTGTTTCATAAATAAATGACAAAATTAGCCAAACAAAGTTGGTCTTCTTGTCTCTGTGTTGAGAGATTTCCTCCTTTCTCTGGCTGCTTGTCTTAGCTTTTCTGGAAGCCTAGGTTTGCTGGCCTCAGGGTTAGTCCCTTCAGTAAGACCCTAACCAACAACCTCTCTTCAACCCGGAGCCAGGAACACATGCTTCACCTTACACAGGTGGCAAGTCCATCTGGTGCCGGGACAAGTGAGGACTGACTACTGTTTCCTGTTTTGTCAGAGCATGAAGGGACGCCCGCCCCCAACACCCCTTTTTGGAGATGATGATGATGACGATGACACTGACTGGCTGGGATGAAGACCCAGGAAACTGGTGCAAAGGTTTCTCTGCTGACCCTTCCCTAAGCATGATTTTGCACAACAGCCCTGGGTCTAGATGAGGCACAGGGTGAGGTGAAGGTGAGCATTCTGAGGACAATAGTTCAGATATCTGAGTTAGCCAGTTTCTGAGCCCCACCTTCCTGGGTGAAGAGGAGTATGAACCTGTCTTCAGAACGCTGGCGACCATCAACAGCCCGCCATGGTCCCACCTCAGAGTCCCCCATGGAGTAATAAGGGCTGGGGGGTTCCCCTCCAGCCAGTCCCTACGACAGTCCTGCCCTCTCCCAAGCTTTTTATTCTCTTAACTGTCAGACTGATCTGCCTCTCAGTGCTCAACTGTGTCCCAGCAACAAGACTGTCACCTGGGGTGAGGTCTCCCCAGTAGAACCGAGAGTAGGTTACACCATCCAAACCCGGTTCAGTTAACAGCCTTGCCTGCAGTCCTGGGACATACATCTTTTCTCTGCCTTAAATCTGATATAAGAGGTCAATGAATATTTGAAATTAACAAAACTAAAATAAATGTCTGCAATGAAACTTGACTCAAGCTCTTGGGGTGAAATTGAATTTGGTTGTGAGGGCCATCTGCGCTCCTCTCTGGGAATCTGAGAGTCAAGAGTTGTAACAGATCTGGGTCAGTTAACATGCTCGAAGGCATTGTAAGATGTTCCTCTTGGTACCTAACCCTGGTACTTTCAGGCTTTCAAAGTCACCATTCTGCTATCCCAGTTCATCCCAGCTCTTTCAAGGCTCAGGGCAGCATGGTTGTGTGAGGACCAGTCCTGTCGTCCACCTGCTCCTGCAGGCTTAGTCCTACACCCTAGGAAGCCATGCAGAGAAGGTGGGAGGGTCCCAGTGTTCTGTTACCCATCATGGCACTTGAGAGATTGAGTCTTCACTTTGAGAGCAGCTTCCATTCCCTGAGTTCAAGGCCAGGACTAGTGCAGGGAATAGTAGTGAGAAAATATTTGTGATCATTTTACTTATTCCAGGATTTTCCAAAGACCATGCAACCAATCTTCAAAAAGTAGAATAATTTTAATAAAAATGTCCCCTGATTTAAAATGTTTATAAGATAGGAACTCAGATTCCACTCCATCTGACCTGACATCATCCTTTGTGATGACAACTTTGAGCCTGTCTCCCATATGGGCCTGGAAGGCAATAAGAACTACCATTTACTAAACTTTGTTGTTTAATAAATAGGCACTATCATGGAGTATTTTACACAGACTTGTCTCACCTTTAGTAACCCTTGCAGAAGACACTGTTATCCCCATTTTATAGCTGGGACTGAGGCTTAGGGAGGTAAAGTAACCTGTCCAAGGTTACATAGCTAGTAAGCAGCAGAACAGGGAATCAAATCCTGACCATCAGATTCCAGAGCCTGGGCTCTTGGCCACCCCAGCAGCATTCGTCCTGGGTTGAGGGAGGAGGGCAGTGATGTTTGTCAGAAATACAGGCTCCTAGGCCCCACCCCAGATCTCCTGAAACAGAATTTACCCTGTTAGGGTGAAATACACAGAGCATAGACTTTTCAGTCTCCACAATCTGCACTCACACCCTTGTTCCACTGGGTGCTGTGTGGCCGTAGCCAGTCACTCTCTCAGCCTCAACCCCCATCTGAGATGATGAACAGACTCAGACTCAGGGCCAGGCTGCCTGGCGCTGCATCCTGGCTCTGCCACATATGAGCTGGGTGACTTTATTTAACTTCTCTGTGCCCCAGCATCCTCATCCCTAAGACAAGGACAGAGAGAGTTTCTACGCTGTTGTGAGGACTCAGTGAGTTAATACTGTAAAGTGCTTAGAACACTGCCTAGCACATAATAAAACACTAGACGGGTGTTTGTTAAATTTAAAAAAAAAATTCAAGAATGACACCTGA